ATGATATAGAGATCAATACTTTGCATTTGCATGGATCTTGGTTTATTGATACAAATTTAAGGTTAATTTTGTTATATGTATATTTCTGCTCTTGATTAAGGTATTCTTTTGCGCAGCTCATTTTAATATGTAATGTATAATTAAGAAATATAGGTTACTAGATAAACATCTATAATAGTCAAGCTTGTAGTTATGTTAGTTAGGTTTTCTAGATATATAGATATATTTCAGTTATATTGGTACTCTTCAAATCTTTCAAAGACCACAGAATATGCTATTTAAAATGTTTTAATAATTTAGGACTTTTTATGACATGAGACACGTCTGCTGCTGGCAGCACCAATCACTTCAAAAGGATGATGGACACTGAAGAGACTCCTTATGGAGTTTGCTAGCCATTTGGGAAAGAAACTGCTCTTGCCTGGACTGCTTATGTTATACTGTTTGAACTAGACATGCAGGACCTACAGAAAATGATTGCTAAATTTGCTTAATGGTGAGACAGTCTTTCAGGATTCCTGCTTCATGAAAGAGTCTGCCAGCCATTCTACAGGACACAGAAGAAAGTGACTGACAAACTGTCAATATAGGCAGAACTGTCTTTCAAATTTCCTGCTTCATGGAAAAGTCTGCCAGATACTACAGGCCTATAGTCTGAAGACAGATGCCTAGAAGAATGTTACAGAAGAACTTTGGGTGACTGTCCAGGCAGTGAGATGTCTTTGTCAATTCTAGAGTTCTGAAAGTTGCTTACAAAGCACTTCATGTTTATTTAGGTAATATTATATCCTTCTGGATTCTTTGATAAAGTTGAAGAACAGATAGTTATAATTATAATTTTCCTTAGTTATGATAAGAGATATAATAGTAGATATAAATATTGTACATATTTTTAAATATTGTAGATATATATATTGCAACTGTAATTCTTGCTTGACTCCTGTCTTGTTATATATAATTTTACTATGTTAAAGTTAAAACCTTCCTTTTCATTTAAACATAAAAGGGGAGGTGATATGAGGGTCCCCTCTGTATACTGTGAATATCATTGGTTAATAAAGAAACTGTCTTGGGACCTACACAGAGCAGAATAGAGGTAGGCAGGGAAAACTAAACTCAATGCTGAAAGAATGAAGGCAGAGTGGTGAGACACCACGGGGCCACCAGAGGAGAAAGATACACGTCACCAGCTGAAACCTTGCCAATAGGCCACAAGCCTGTAATAAATTATACAATAATAGAAATAGGTTAACTAAAGATAAAAGAGCTAGCTAGCAATATGCTTAAGTGATTGTCCAAGCAGTGTTTTAAATAATATGGTTTCTGTGTGATTATTTTGGGAGTCTGGGTGATCAGGAAATGAACAGGCAGCCTGCTATAACACACAGGGTCCTCCCATGTTATAGGAGTTAGCTCCATCTTGCCCTTCTTTTTACATCTTGACAAACCAAGCCAGAACTAACTATGAAACTCTAATTTTCCAACAGAGCCCCAAACAGTATGTTCAACATGTACACAAAGAATCAAACTGTGTGTACCGAGAAAGACAGCAAGTATTCTCACCTTTCATTATGAAACATATTCTCTAAGTCCTCTATAGGCTTGCAAGTGTATCTATATTTTTGAATCTTTTCATAGGGGAAGTTATGTGGCTCCACTCTTGAGTCTTAATGCCAACAGCACTAAACAAACACCCCTTAGCATAAAAGTTATTCCCATAAACTCAGGCTAAACAGAACACAAGGCTCTTCTTGGAGTTACTGACTTGCATTGTGGCTTTTGAAGCCATCTGTTTTAGTGAAGGGTATTGAGTAAAGCCTTCCTGAGAAAACAATAAATTTAAGATACCAGTGATGATAGTATTCCTTATGCTGAACCATAAGTCTGTCTCCTGTTTGTTTGATCTTGACATAGTTTTTAACACCAAGAGTTTCAGGAAGAAAGGGATCTTTAGATCTTGTTTTCATGTTGTGTCCTAATGCCCCGAGTTAGATTATCGTATTATAGCCTAGTATAATCAGTGGCCAAATTCTGTTCTATTATGACTACATCTTTCTCTACAGGTAGCACCCTGTTCCCACAAGTTCTGCTAGACTTTTCGATGCTACAACTCAAGGTCCAGGGTTGGCACAACCTATATCTGATATTGGTGGTCCTGCTTAAACAGTGCTTCTTCACCAGAGGCATTCTCACTTACCAGTTTCTATGCATCCCTTGCTCATTGGCTTTAACCACATGAGGGAAGACCACACTTCCTCCCGATTTCCTACTCTAGAATTTTTCCAGATACCTGACAATCTTCATTGGTCATCTGTGTTCCCAAGAACCAACATTCCTAAGTTCAAACTGTTCCTACTATCCACCAAATTATCTCATACTTATTTTTATCAAAACTTAAATAATACTCATTCAACTAGAATTACTTATATCTGGATAAAAGTTTTTGAGACTACAATAATCTTATTTGTGAAGTTCTTTACTAACATTCTTACATGTATTCATTTTTGTGGAGTGGGGTCATATGCTACATTACATGTAGGAAGGTACAAAGACAGCTTGCAGGAGTTGCTTCTTTCCTGCTACCATACAGATCCTGAGGACAGCACTCAGTTCATCAAGCTTGCCTGCAAGCACCTTGACCCACTAAGCCATATTGGTGGCCCAAAGCGGGGACTTTTGAGCTCAATTATCTGAGAGAAAATATCCATTGCTTAAAATTAAGGTGGCCCAATGTCGGCTGCTTTTTACATGGTCAGGTAATGGCTGACTTATCTCTTTTGACACCCACTCTATCTATGAAACCTGGCTGGTCTCAATACAGGCTCCTCATCCCTAGTGCTGTAATGACATGTGTAGTCCCATGCTCAAACCCTCAGTAATTTACTCACCATTGAGCATGCACTTTACATTTTTCTGCTACTCATAATTATTAAAAAAAAAAAAAGGTTATATAGCCAGGCAGAAGTGGCTCACATCTTTAATCCCAGCACTCAGGAGGCAGAGGCAGGTAGATTTCTGTGAGTTTGAGGTCAGTGTGCTCTACGGAGTTCCAGGACAGGCTCCATAACTACTGAGAAAATCTGTCTCGAAAAACAAAACAAAACAAACAAATAAATAAGTACATAATAAAAGAAAAAGATAATATACTTCACCAATGAGCTACACAGAGAAGCAAGAGAAACTGAAACATGTGGTTTTTCTTTTATGAATTTTAGTGAGTTTTAGCAGTGTTTCTAAAATAATTTCCTAGTTGATATGAATTTATTTTTAAAATATTGTTCTTTATTCTAGCCCATAAAATCCCTTAAAATACAGGAAGGAGAAAAGAATTTTTTGGAAACACGCTCTAAATATTTACTTTCAAGAGTATGGTTTGAAAGTGTTGTGATTCTAATATGGTCAAAACAATTTTGTCCACTTTAAAAAGCAATCTGTTTTGCCCCTGTAATGCTTTCTTTAGCCTCTCGATTTTAACATTGTTTGTTTGGCATCTATAATGATTGTTTTGCACATGGTTCCAAATCAGTAAACATTTATTTAATGATTAATTATAGCCAAGTCTGTTTCTAAGCCTTCTGCTTTTCCTACCTCACTTCATTTTATGTTAGACCTTCCAACGGATGAGAAAAAACTTAGATTCAGTTTACTAATGCCTGGGACAAGCAGATTTCTTATGTAAGCATTCTAGATTTGTGGTGGCAAAACTTAATCGTTGTTATAGAAATGTTGAATTACAGTAGGAAATTGTGCTACAAAAGTGTTTTGTTTAAATAAATAGGATTGTACACTAGTTTAAATAATATACAGAATAAAATATTTTAGCCCTAGCAATCCCCATTACAAATTACCTTTCTTGTTTTAATAAGTAAATTGAGGCATAGAAACCAAGTAAAATGTCTAATTTGTTTAGTAGAGGAGTTAAACTTTAATTTCCAGCAGATAAGTTCCAGGATGCACGTTGCTGCCATCGTTCTGAAAATGGAAGTAGCAGAGCACAGGCATGCCTATGCTCAGCAGCCACCAGGAGTGAAATCTTTTCACAGCCTTCACAGCCTTGAGAGCTCTGAGATTTTCATGGGGCTCGTCTCATTAAGAGTAAGTAGGCTTTATGCAGGTTTGCTCGGGCTTTAAAGACGTATCACAGAAGATGAAAAGCACTGCCTCCATGACAAGTCAAAATGAACGTCTACAGCACTTCTCCTTTGGGGAGGATGTTTCTAAGAAATGCATTATTTATTTGCAAGATTGTGACAAAGCTGGAGCACCTGAGTGAAACATATTCGTAGAATTATTAAATTTGAGATAAAACATAAAAGCATAAGCATGAAGAAATTGCTTTCTGCAAAACACTTTTAATCCCTAGTTTTAGTACTGTCTGCCTTCATACATCCTCAGAATTAACTAAGAGTTATTTTTAAGTAAGTGAAATAAACCCCATTGATGCAATGTGCTGTTAAAAATGACATGAGAAATCTGTTTTAACCTTTTTTATTGCATATCCTTGTTTTTCCTTAGTACTGTTCCTTTAAATGCTGTATTAGTCATGGGCTGCCTCCCCCCACCCATTCAAGGCTGAGGAGGCAGCACTCATGTGTCTGCATTAGAGCAGAGTGTGCACCCATTTCCCAAAATGCACACAACGAGACCTTCTGCTGCTTCTGAAGGTAGTACAGAGGCAAGGGAGGATAAGCCAGTGCTGAAGAGACTTCAGACCAACCAAGTACTGCAAGGCCAGACTTGCATGTCCGTGGGTATCTGTGATTGCAAAACAGCTGGTCCAGGGAACAATCTCAGTGAAGGAAGACGCCTACTGACTTCGTTGTTGCTGACAGCTTATCTTACCTGACAGCTTCCTTGGACTTCTAAGTTGGAAAGTGAACGAGCTCATTTGCCTTCTAAAAGAGCATTATCAACTGAGCTATTAAACACCTTGTTGGAGAATACCTTTCCTTTGTGCAGCAAAATTCAAAACCAGCAAGTTTATATATTGCACATTTTACTTCATTTTAAAATAGTCTTTATTTATCCAATAAAGATTTACATATAACTATCAGGCAATTATACAAATATCAAAGGAATACTTTGTCTAAAACGTTAGTATTCAGGTGGTGTTGTCATAGAAACTTCTCGTGGAAATATTACACATCTGTAAGCACTTTCTGGAGAATTTGGAAGTTAAAGAAAGAGAAGAAGAAGAATGACTCTGTCAATACTGACTAGGGATGAATCTGTTTCACCTCTATTCATTATTCATAATTCATTTTTCTACTGAGACAACATTCTAGTAACTTTAGTGAAATTCCATTGACTTTGACTCAGATTGGGAGTTAAAATAGCCGACTTTTACTAAGTGTAGTGGGCAGGAGCAGGCCAGCCTGCAGCTGCGTGGAGCACTGGAGACCATATGTCAACCCAGCCGTTCAGAGGCCTGGATCTGGGCCCAGGTTTCACTCGTCTGCTCTGTGACCCTGGGTAATTTGCTTAACCTTCATGCACAACAATTTTTCACAGTCACAAAACAAGATTGATGACATTAATGTGTGAAAGAAAAAAAAACAGGGACACTTGACAGTGGGACGCACAAACAGTAGACAAAACTAATTCTTAGGAGCTACCCTTCCCTAAAGTTTTGCTACTGTGGTAAGTGTTCTTATCACAATAGATAGCAGACGGGAGGAAATGCTTGGAGATAGTGGGTATCTTTGCTACCTCAACTGCTGTAGTGACAGCAGCATGATGCATGTATAAGTCTATATGGGAGGGATGGAGAGAGACGGAGGGAGGGAGAGGGAGAGGGAGACCTGCATGGACATGAAAACTCAAGTTTACTGACAAGGTATCAGCAATCGAAGGTTAGTTCTGGGAGGCCCAGGGCTCTCCTTTGTCTGAAATAGCCAGCTCTGCCAAGAGGAAAAAGTTGAATAACATCCTCCTCATCCCATGTGTAAATAATATTGGTGGAAACATTTGAATCACTTGATTCTCCATGGGAGAAAATGAGTTTGCAGATGATGGAAGGAAACGCCTGAGAATATCATGGTCACCCTATTTGTCAAACATGCATTAGGTTAACAATCCCAAATATGAAAAAGACTCATAATTCTAAAACCCCAAGACTCTTCTTAAATATTTAATAATAAATCCTGGTCAGACAAGCAATGTATCAAAATTAATAAATATGGAAAGGAATAGATGTGGCAAACCCTTGGTTTGGGGTTACAATTTGAAGACAAAAATACACCTGAAAAAAGTTAGGACTTAATATAATTATGGAAGGAAAATCATTTTGAAGCAAGATATTGGTGAGTCTCAATCAACTATATAATTAAAATATCAGAATTACTCAAACTACTAAAAAAAATCAAAATCGTGCAGAAATAGAGTATTATATAAAAACTGTTAACCAAAATGATACGGCATATAGAGCAGGAGAAAAGCCTGACATCTTCTGTATGAAAACCCTCATGGAAGCCATGACATGAAATGGAATGCGTTGGATTTTTAATTGTTGAGCATAAAATTTATAAAGTTGACACTTCAGTCATATTTCCTTTTCAGAAACCATAGATTTGGGGGCTCCCTCTGGTGGTTGAATAAAATACAGTTTTATGTTAGACATAGACAGCTTTAAGTAAAATAAAAGGCTATGGAAATAGATTCCCCTTGGACGGCCTGTTCTTCCTCAGGACGTGATGCCCGCCATGACACGAGGATGGCAGCGATGGCGACACTGGCGTGTGGGAGCACATTCAACTCTCACCCAGACTGATGTGGGAACTGAAAACAACCTGGCAAAGTAAACAAAGAATATATAATTAGTTAAAATAAATATTTTTAAATGAACAAAATTCTAGAAAATTAAATGGAAATAACTTTCTGAGACTCACTCACATAGAAGACGAAAGCCATGGCCTCAACATTAATAAAGAGACAGTGAAACTTATTACTGTATTCAATTTGGTGTATCCGTGTGTTTATTATTTAGATTACTTCCTTATGTTACCACAGAGAAAAGAAAGAATTTATTTAAAAGAGAAGTCACTCTGTGAGGGTTTCCTTAATGGGAATATTTATATATCAATCATTCTTTCTAAATTAAAAGAATTCTTTCCTATAAAAAAATAACTCTAGCTTTGGCTTATTCTCACTGAATGGTGATGAACTCTTATATGTTCAGATTTGTTAGACAGGTGAGGCAAGAGTCCTTTGCTCTGAAACATTGAGAGGCTCTGGATGGTTTCAAATGATGGGATGAAGGAACATCAGAAATTCCTAACACATCCAGGGCCCTTTTTCAAGTCTGTTTTCTCTATTGGTGTTTAAATGTATTAAGCAATAATAAATGTAGTGTAGACAATATGCTTGCTGGTTTTTATCCCCTTGACAGAAAACTAGACATACCTGGAAAGAAGGAATATCAACTTAAGGATTACACCCATCCATCAGATGAGTCTGTGGATATGTTGCTAACTGATATAGAATGGCCAAGCCAGCTGTAAACAGCCCCACCCTCGGGCCAGTGGATACTGGCTGTATAAGAAACATAGCTGAGCAATTCACAGTAGCAAGTCAGTCAGTAAGCAGCATTCCTCCATGGTCTCTGATTCAGTTCCTGCTTCAGGCACCTGCTTTGGGTTCATGTCTCGGATTCCCTCGATGGTAGACTATAACCTGTAAGCAAAATAAACCCTTTCTTTGACAGTTTGTTTCTGTCAGTGTTTTATCATGGCAACCGAGAGCATACTATAATAGAGAGGGTACCCAATGCAGCATTGGTGAGACACTGGATCTTATTTTCAGACATTCTTCAAAAGTGTAGAGTCTAGTACTTCTGCCAAATACCCATCAAGCATTGTTCCTTTGAATTCACCAGTGAACTCAGGGACACCGTGAAAAAAAAAATGAGCTCCATTCATTGCTATTTCTTCATTGAAATCAATTCATTGGTATACTTTAGTAACTATTTTTTCAATGGGGAATTTTCTTCTCTTTAGAAAAAGTAAATTATTGTTGTAGAAGCACAGGTTTCATTAAAAATTAATAAGAGGGAGTGGACTGTAGGGCCATATTATACAGGCCCATACTTCTACATGGTATGGGGATCAGACCTTGAGGCCACAGTTTGTACCTGGCCACATGGAGGGTGGCCACCTAGCCTTTTGAGACAAACTGATGCCATCCTAAACAAAAGGACAGGATATGCTAATGCCATTCTGCTCCTTCTTTGTAATTTGAAAGGTCTGCCTGGGAAAGAGGTGTTAATTCAGTTTGCATGACAGAGCAGGCATAGATCGAAAGACATGACAAAATTGGCATAGAAAGGTGTGGACATTACCCAGGAAACAGAATGCTAATGAATTTCCCCCTCAGTTTATGTTTTGGTATTAAAGCTGTTTGGAGAATAAACGTGGGTGAATTTTCAGGATGTGAATTCAGGATTTCATGAAGGATCACTGAAAACTCCCTCCCGATAAAGTCATGTGAGTTGTGTCTTCATTCCCACGCCTCCCCCCTAGTCAGAGAAATAATTCATGGTCTGGGCTAGTCCCAGACCATGACAAATTATTATCTCAGATTTCTAGGATAAACTTTCAGAATTTGAGTATTCTCAGAAATTATCAAACAGTGGTAAAAAGAAAAGACAATTAAACCAGACTTCTACTGTCATATATATTTATACAAGGATATCTGCCTACATATTCATCTTACAGAGCCAGGACTATTTTAAAGAGAAACATGAGGGAAAAAAGGAGATTGTCCTAAAAGTCAAATCATATAAATTGAGTTCATTTTTTGGAATGCTTCCCTAGTTATTAGCTGAACGGTGTGATAAATTCTGCACAAGTAGTCATTGAGCTATTTATTACATAATCAAGGAGTAATGGTATTGAGAAATACCTGAGATACCAAAAGTTGCCAACCTCTACAGAGGCAGCCATCAGATAACATGAATCTGCCCTCCAAGAATATACTGTCATATTTCTGTCTTCCTATACAGAAGAATGCTTCTGTAGGACACCTAAAGAACAATGTTCCCAAGAGAAGAAAGCAGTCTCTGATCAACTATCTTTAGGACATAGCTCATGTTAGACCATCCCAAATAAGAATGAAGAAAGAGGAGGGGAAGGAAGCAAGGGAAAGATGGAAGAATGGTAATGACAAGGGTGGAAACAAGAACACAGAAGAAATGGGAATGAAAGGAAGCACCTAGAGTAACTGTTTTATGTAGTTCTCACACACATCTCACAATAAAATTCATCTTCCTTATCCTGCTGCCTATAAATACTCAGGAACTGACATTTAACATGGCATATTTTGGCTAAAACATCTTAATAGAATTTGTATAAATGGAGCAGTTAAAAGAATAATTAAAAGGAGTGCCTTTGTGTGCTTTTCAAACTGTGTATTATAGATGTGTATATATTAATGTGGGTTATGACATGTATATGTCATATTCATTTATAAATGATTGATTTTACACAATTGACCATTCTTTTGTGTTTGTATAATGGCTTATTGATATATATTCAATAGACCTCATTTCTGTCTGCATATATTAGTCATCCAAGAAGCATAAAAAAATTCCCAAGGTGGAGAGATTGCTCAGTAGTTAAGAGCACTTGCACTTCATTCAGAGGAACTGGGTTTGGTACTCCAATTCCAGGGTCTCATACACACACACACACACACACACACACACACACACACACACCGAGAGAGAGAGAGAGAGAGAGAGAGAGAGAGAACAGGGTAGATAGAGGAAGTGATTGTGTATGTGAGAGTGAGACAGAGACACAGAAACACAGAGACAGACACATACATGCAGACACTCACACTCACACAGGCACATAAAACAAAACAATAGGTATATTTACCTTTAAAAAAATACCCAGGCCTCACACAGAGATTGTGAGGGCAATACTTTAGAGTGAGGTCAACTTCAACTCCCAATATTTAAAAGTACCTAAGCAATCAGAAATTGATAACTCAAGGCAGGTAGTCAGAGGGTGTCTCCCTTGGTGTCATCACCTTGTTTTCTTCTTATGTTCCTCCATTTGTTGCCCAACATTACAGTGGAGGCTACCTTGCCATTCCCCTCATTCACTAACACCTGGATTACTGCAGTAAAAGGAATGGTAGCAAAAAACAAGCATAAAGAAGCAGGCATATGCAATATCAGATTCCCCTCACTGGTGGTGAGATGATAAGAAGAATGCTTAAAGTCTGCTGTGGAGAGATCCAGTTAATAAGTGAAACATCTGTATTTTCCAAACTAAGGTCTTATCTTCTTCATTATCCTTTCAGGGATACTATAAGTTAGCATTATATATGTACATAATGTTTCCAGGAAGGAATATGCTGACAGCCCAAGCTCTAGATTGACTTCTCTCTACAGAGGACACGATTTTTGTTTAAAAGCTGATTCCTACTCTCTATCCTATCCAGTTCTTCTACTGAAATGCTAGCTGTCCACTAGGACTTAAAGGCTTTCTGGACTCTAGTTTCATGTGTCTGACTCTAGAGTAAACATGTAGCTCCTGCCCATCTCTTCCTTTGTATATCTAGTCCTTTTACAGAAAACCTACTCCAAGGCTTGCAATCTAGGTCTGAACTTTCCAATGACAGTTTGAATCAAACCATCTAAGGAGTCATCTGGAAGGTTGTAGGCAGTGTTGTTTGGTATTCATAGTTCCAGAACAAAGAATGAGACACAACAGAGTAGTTACTCTTATTGCCCTATGGTGGCCTTCTACTAAGCCAGCCTTGAGAACAAGGTCAGTGTCCCTAGACTCACATTCTATCTTTTGTCACAATTTCAGAAGGCCCAACTCAAAAGCGATAGCTGAAATGTTTATACCCAAGGATATAACTCTGAGCTCTTTCCACAACAGCAAAGTAAACTATAAAGCAAAACCTTTGAAATCAAATGTAAGAAAAATATCCTATACACTATGAGCCCTGTATCTTCTCCTGCAACAAGTCTGTGCCTGGGCCTCTAGACTGTTGATGAATTCCTTTGAGATGTAGGTGCCAGAAGCTATGCCCCACAGCGCTGGTGACCTGAATGCTTGCTGAATCAGTGCTGCTGGATCCCTTTCAGGTTTTACCATGTGTGTCCTCTAGACCTGTTACCCAAGTTGACCCTAAGGCTTCTTGAGGCCTAGTACCCTATGCTAGGAACTGCATAAGACTGTAGGTGGGATAGTCCTGACACCATGACACTAGACAAGTCCACAGTGAATATTTAGTCCTTTATTCTAGAGCCATTCTGTCCTTCTATGTCACTGGGCCTCTAACAGTTTAAGGCAACCTTCAAAATCTCTGAACTACATGTAGAATCTATTTTCATTATCTTGACAAGGAGCACCTAGTTTTCTTTTATTGATGCCCTGCCATTTATCAAAGGGTAGACTGACCGCATCGTCTCCTCTTCTTTGTTTACTTTTAATTATAAATTTCATATCTAACTATTTTGGTCTCTCTAATATTACTGTATTCACCTACAAGAAGGCTGCAGATCCTTGAATATTCTGCTTAAAAGCTTCTTCCACTAAATGTCCAAGCTCACTGATCTTAAACTTCTTCTTCTACAAAGCCTTCAGACATGGGCATAATTCAGCCAAGTTCTCTGGTACTCTATAATAAGGATGACTTTTATGGAAGTTTCCAATACCTTGTCCCCATTTCTGGCTAGTAACATTAAAATAGGTGTCATTGTGTATATTTCTCCCAGAATTACATACTGCCTAAGAAAAGTTAGCCTTTCCCTGTGGCTCTTCTCCTTTTCTAAGACATTGCCAGCATTCCCTTTAATGAGACTTTCTGGCAGTATAGACCTTTTCTTTTTAAAAATAATTTTAATCATTTTGTGCATGACTACTATATTTACAACATTTCACCCGCTCGACTTCTAATTCCTTCAATGTCTGCATTAACTCCTCAAATTTATGACATCTTTTTTCTATAATTATAACTGTTACATACACACAACTCAACTCAGAGTCATTCTTATATACTTGTGTTCATGGCTGATCACTTGAAACTGGATAAATTACCAGGAAGTTCATCCATAGGAAAAACCAATTCTTTCTCTTTAAGCAGTCAGTGATTGTTTTTATATCCTCATTAGTGTGCGAAGCCTTGTGAAATTCCCCCTAACCTTGATGGCTTTGTGGATTGATGTTGCCATTATGCAAGTCTTGTTTAGTCAGCCATTATGTTGAGATTTTATGGTGCAGCTTCCCTGTCCTGTCTATATGACACTATCTAGCAGCAGACATCCTGGTCATCTGGCTTTTCAATTATTCTGTCCCCTCTTCCAGGATATTCTGTGATAGAAGTAAGTGATCAGGGCAAAAGACTGTACTTTTAGGTAAGAAAAGAAGCTGAGAAGATACTGTTCTAGGGAACCTACCTATGACGACAAACCTACTCTTGTGATGAGTAAATGAATCTGTTCACGAGTACAGAGCCCTCATGGCCTAATTATCTCTCAACATTATTGAATTAGGAGCTAAGATTTTGTACCAGGCTTTCTTTTTTGGTCTACCAACCAACTCCCAAAGCATGATATGGAGACTTCTTATTGCTTATCAATGCTCTGGCTACCTTAGGTTCATTTCTGCCTAGCTTTTTTCTTTAACTTAAATCAACTTGTTTCTCTTTATCTA